TATACAGCCAAAATCAGAGCAGTCCTTCTTCCCAAAACCCCCCAGAAAACACATGCCCTTCGTGACGTGCCGCCCCTCGCGTAAACCCATTCTTCTCCTCTTGGCTGAGGAACGACAGTTTCTTGGGTTTCTTGCCAAGCCCTGACCTCACGCAGAAGCTGCCGGGTCTGGATCCAAAGTGGGGGTTGTAACAGTCCTACAATTACGTGATGCACGCCAGGGAGCAGGAAGCTATTTCCAGGCACACCTGCAAACCCCTACACACCACGCAGCGCAACGCAAGGGCGGAGGAGGAGCATTTGGATTTGTAAAAACCTCTACTGCCACCATTCTTTTTACACGCCTGAGCCGGTTTCCCTTTCTGAGCACCCAAAGGAAACCTCACAGCTTTCACCCTGCTCCCTTTGTTTTCTTGTAAAACGGTCCAAATGGCTGAATCTCGCAAAAGCGGCGGAACCGAAATTTATTTGCTGCGTTTATTTTTCAGCATAAGATAGGCAAGAGGCTTTAAGTAACTAAAAGCCTGCTTTAAGTAACTAAAAGCCTGCTTTTTTGATGCAGAACCAGAGCAAAAAAAAAAAAAAAAAAAAAATCACAGGTAGCACAATTACTCTCTATTGATGCAACCTCTGTGAAACAAGTATTTTGGAGCCATTATTGGTAATGTATTTTTGACAGCTGTAACACAACATAACTGAGAGTTTTGCAAGGTGTTTAACATCATGCAAGATATTCAGATTAAAAAAAAAATGAACACAGCTGCAACCAGAACACCCTATTTCTGCCTCGTCCAGGGATGAAGCCAATCTTGAGAGGGTATCAAGCGTGATGCTTTCTCTGGTGAGCTAATTCTTGGGAAGTAAAAATGAGCAAAACACAGTCCAAGTGCTGCTGTCAGGAGAGGTGTAACCCCGAGGGTGTGATCCCTTCTGACAGGAGCCTGGCAGACAGCATCACTGTGAATCGCAGCCGCAGCACAAACCCAGAGGTGAGGAAAGGGAAGGAAGGTGGGCACCTTGCTGCAAACCTGCCTCTGGCTCACCTTTTCTCTGATAAAAAAATTGTCCTGAGTAATTTAAGGCTCTCGACCTGCATCTAATAAACAGAATCCCACGAGGCTGGGGACGGGTCTGGAGAACAAGTCACACAAGGAGAGGCTGAGGGAATTGGGCATGTTTAGTTTGGAGAAGAGGAGGCTGAGGGGAGACCTCATTGCCCTCTACAGCTCCCTGAAAGGAGGGTGGAGAGAGGTGGGGGTTGGCCTCTTCTCCCAAGGGACTCATGCCAGGAGCAGAGGAAACGGTCTGGAGTTGGGGCAGGGGAGGTTTAGATTAGATATTGGGAAGAATGACTTTCCTGAGAGGGGGGTCAGGCACTGGAACAGCCTGCCCAGGGAGGGGGTGGAGTCATCATCCCTGGAGGGATTTAAGAAATGGGTAGAGGTGGCACTTCAGGGCATGCTCTAGTGCCTGGGATTATCGGGTTGGGTGTTTTGTTTTGTGGGGTTTTTTTGGTGGGTTTTGTTTGTTTGTTTTGGGTTTTGTTTTTTGTATGGTTGGACTCGATGATCTCAAAGGTCCCTTCCAACCATGAAGATTCTGTGAGGCTGTCGGAGGGGAGGGGAGGAGAGGAAGAATAACAGGGGGCTGTCACCCTGGCAAGCAGAATGCACGGAGGGATAGACTGAGAGGGCCAACAGGACAAACGTAGGGGCTGAAGTCAAAACACCTCCTTGGGCCAACCCCTTCTTCCCTGCAGGGAAGAGGACGCCGAAAATGTGAGCCCTCATCGGGCTGCCCCGTTGAGGCAGGAGTTGGCAGGCACAAGGGGTGAAGGGTGTTGTGGCCATATATTGCAGCAGGACACGAGGTTCTGCCTGCTCTCCTGGACCCTGGATGTCCATGGAGCCAAGGCATCTCCAGTGACACCCAGCGCCCCACCAGCCTCCCCGAGCCCACCGGCGCTGGGCGTTTTGTGGGTGCTTATTGATGGAAGTTCTAGTTGGGTTCACAGCTTCCCCAGGCACACATTAGAGAACCACACTCCCATCTCACAGGGAAATCTCCTCGGCACCACACCCCAAACAGACTCAAAATGACCCGAAATAAACTCCCCGGGGTTAGAGACAGAAGTCATAGAGACACCCACAGCACTTGAGGTTCTGCGAGGTGTTTGGATACACTGAGCAGTCCCTGCGATCTCGCCTGCCAGCTATTATTGCCATTTTACTGACAGAGGAACATCGGAGGTAAAGAGAGCGCTTAAAGTGCTGCTCACTTCAGAGCGTGCCAACAGAAATGGCTTTGGGGAGTTCAGACTGGGTTCCTTCTCAATTATTATTTCTGTAGCCAAGTGGCTCTGCAACGCTAAATCGCTGCCGTCGCTGAAGTAAGCAGCTGTGATCCTGAATACACATGAGGAGACGATCTATTCACCGTAGCGGCAGTGAGTTTTTGTCATTTTTCAGTGTAAGTGCACTTTAACTGAGCTGACATTCTCCCGGACCTTGGACACTGATGGAAAATAATACTTCAAAGGCCATTTTAATTGATGTAGAGTTTCCTGTACCCCAATACAGCCCTTAAGAGTCAGAGAAAACCACTTTCAAGAACCCTCTGAGGACTCCCGAGTCAGTATTACAGCGCTGCGTTTATGGAAGATAACTCCCAACACTGTTTAATTACATCTCTGACCTCTATACAATTTTCCATTATAGGCCTCATTCTTACCCCTTTCAAGTCCCACTCAACTCATTCTGCAGGAGCAGGATACAAAGACATCCTTAGCTCTGAAATTTGCATTAGGAAATAAGGGGGCAAGAAGGGAGAGCGCTTATTGGTGACTTTCAGGAGATTAAAGAAGAAAATGACGTATGTGACTTCCTTCATTTAAAATCGTAGTTTCATGGCGCAAACGTTTCTCAAAGTTTCCTTAGCCATAAAGGAGGAATTAAGAAGGAATTCTGTACTTCTGGCAAAAGCTATGATTATTTTCAAATCTTATGATTGCCCACGGGGAAGCTAAGGGTTGGATGGGATCTTGAGCGGGCCTTCCAGGAGGGAATCAGCCCGTGTATCTCCTAAGAGATACCAGTCTAAGCCTTCTGTAAAGGACTTTGAGGACCACGATTCCTCACCTTCTCAAGCACTCTGTTCCCTTGCTTCATTTCTCTTCCTAGTTAAAATGTTTTCTGACATGCAAACCTAAACTTTCCTTGCCACAGGTAAGTGACAGCTGGTTATCTTCCAAGTCTGTGTAGAGAAGGACTAGAACACAGCGTTCTTTGCATGGCTACCTTCACACTTTGCAAAGCTCCTCTCCCTCCATCCATCTTTTCCTGCCCAAGCAACCCCTTGTAAATCCTATTTTCTGAGCTGATCCCCGTCGTCTCCTACAGAACCTCCCCAATTCTCCTACAGCTTTTTAAGGCGCAACGCTCAAAGCTAAGCCCATCAGGCTGGTATCGTCATTACTGAGCCGAGGAGGCTAATTAAATTGCACGCCTGCAATGCCCGCGCTGATGCGTCCCCAAGCGAAGGCTGGGGTTCTGGTTGTGGATTTTCTGCCACGAAGGCCTCCTGCTGCTGACGCACGCTCCGTTTGTGATCCAGCTTCATCCCCAGACCCTTCTCCACCACGTCACTTCTCCAGGTGTTCCCAGCTCCGCATTTGGCTTTCCCCTTCCCAGGACCATCTCCCAACTGATTACAGGTAACATCTCCAGTTTATTTCTAAACACCAGTTTGAGCTCTGGTCCTGGACTCCAGAGTGCTTACAAGCTCATACATCCTGATGACGACCACAAATAACCGAGTGCTTACAAGCTCATACATCCTGATGACCACAAATAACTGAGACCAGAGAAATTTTGGAAAAAGAAGAGCATACCTAGGTTATAACTGGACAGTCTTTGTGTCACCAATGAAAAGCCAAGGAGACACCCCTGTCCCTAGGCAGCAGGTGACTGGCACCTTCTCACACAGCCAGTTGTGCCACCACACATAAAACCCCCTTTTGTTCTGAACTGATTTCAAATGAACCCCAAACCTAAGCAAAATTCCCAGAACGTCCACTTAGTTCAAACAGAAGCTCTCCTCCAAGCGAAAGGTGGCTTTTTAGGCAGGCCCTTCTCCCCGCCAAAGCAACATTTGCAAAAAGCATGTGCGTGGGGGAATCCATGCAGGAGTTCCAATTACAAACACGGAGACAGAGTTCAAAGGAGAACGGGACATCAGGAGTCAAGGGACACTTTCGGCAGCACCGAGAAACCTTCACGGAGGGGTCCACCTTCAACCCCGACCACCCGAAGCCTTCAGATCTCCCAAACGCAGCACCACCTGAGCCCACGCAGCTCCATCAACCATTCCCTGAAGCTCCATCAACCATTCCCCGACCTCATCCCCCACAACGCCGCTTGAAAAGCCTGCTCCTCGGGGCCGCGTGTGATTAATTATTCATCCAACTCTGTTTGGACATCCCACAGTTCCACCCCAACCTCCATGATTACACACCATCGGGATGCGAATATAGATATTAAAGTCCGCCGGGCGCGTTTTTGACAGAGTTGGGTCAACGCTGGGTTTTGAAACAGCAGCTATCTGCTATAGATATATATATATATATCCTAAAGCACTTAGTTCTCTACGCGAAACATTTTAAAGACAATTAATTAGAAGCGAGGGCGAAAGGGGCCGGTGAGCGGTTCCTCCCAGCGGCGGAGAGAGAGGGGAGCTCGCCCCTTTGGCCACCGCTCGCCTCCGGGGGGTTGCCTGGAGGCCCCGAGGAGGCAACTCTCCCTATCCCCACCACCATCAATACCACCACCACCAATACCACCGCCCCCCTCCCCGGCTCCGGCAGCAGGTCCCACCGGGGGGACACGGGTGGAAGGGGGGGGGGACACACACAGAGGGACACACAGAGGAAGGGAGAGAGGGAGGAAGGCTGGGACCCTTGGGGGGGTTGGGACCGGTTGGGGAGCCGCTCGCTCGCTCACTCACTCACAGTGGCACCATCCCAGGTGGCAGCACCAGTGGAGACGGAAGCAGCGGCCGTGGCTGTGGGTGGCGCAGAGGGAGAGCCCGTCGCAGGGCTGGAAGTCGGGTCTGCCGGCGCAGCTGCGGGCCAGGGCCACCCAGAGCAGGTCCCACAGCAACGTGTCCAGGTGGGGTTTGAATGTCTCCAGAGAAGGAGACTCCACCACCTCTCTGGGCAGCCTCTGCCAGGGCTCTGCCACCCTCAAAGTGAAGAAGTTCCTCCTCATGTTTAGATGGAACTTCCTATGATCAAGTTTGTGCCCGTTCCCTCCTGTCCTGTCTCTGGGCACCACTGAAAAAAGACCCCATCCTCTTGAAACCCACCCCTGAAATATTTATAGGTGTTGATCAGATCCCCCCTCAGTCTTCTCCAGACTAAAAAGACCCAAGTCCCTCAGCCTGGCTGCTCAGGGAAGTGGTTGAGGCACCATCCCTGGAGGTCTTCAAAAGACGGGTTGACATGGTCCTCAGGAATATGGTTTAGTGATTTTTTATTGC